CCTGCGCATGGGAGGACTGCGATCTGTACGGACTCTTCCACCGGGGCAGTTCTTGCCACGTTCACCAGAGAGCCCCACTCAGGTCTCTTCGTCCTGCACACTCCGCCCCCGCAGGTAGCTGCGTCTGGTCAGGTTGCTTCGTCCCCCCCAGTAGCAGAGTCCGGTCAGGTTACTGCGTCCCCACCGGCTGCTGTGTCCGGTCAGGTTGCTGTGTCTGGTCAGGTTGCTGTGTCTGGTCTAGTTGCTGCGTCTTGCTCGTGTCGGTCTTTCACCCACCGGACCGTCTTGTGGCACCACCGTCTTGGCCACGCGTCGATCCCCCGCCTCCGCACTATGGCTAGTCACCGTCTTGTCTCAGGTCTCCCTCGCGTCTTCCCGTCGCTCCCTCCCTCGCCTGCGCCGCCGTGCACTCCTTGCGTCGCCGGCCGTCTTCGTGCCACTCCGCACTCCTCCTCCCTTCGTCCGGCCACTGCTCCCTTCCAGACACTCCACTTTGATGTCTGGGGCCCTGCACCTACGCAGGGACCTGAGAGGGAGCGCTACTTTTTGGTGGTTGTCGACGACTTCTCCAGGTACACCACGGTGTTTCCTCTCGCGAAGAAGTCCGAGGTGACTTCTACGCTGATCCGGTGGCTTCTAGCCACTGAGGGCACTCGTGGCCGTCGTGTCTCCTGTCTCCACTCTGACCGTGGGGGTGAGTTTCGCTCAGGCATTCTTGCTGGATTCTGCGGCGAGCAGGGCATCGTACAGTCCTGGACGCTGCCGGAGTCCCCACAGCAGAATGGGGTTGCTGAGCGCCGCATTGGCTTGGTCATGGACATCGCCCGCACGTCCATGATTCATGCCCGTGCGCCCCATTTTCTGTGGCCGTACGCGGTTCGCTACGCCGCTCACCAGCTGAACCTCCAGCCGCGCGTCTCGCGGCCAGAGGCTTCACCGACCAGTCTTTGGACCGGGTCCCCTGGTGTTAGGTCAGCTTTTCGTGTCTGGGGCTGCCTTGCGCTTGTCCGCGACACCTCTGCGGACAAGCTCTCGGCTCGCGCCGTCCCCTGTGTCTTCCTTGGTTTCCCGGTAGCCTCGGCCGACTGGTCCTTTTACCACCCGCCCCTCCACCAGTTCCTAGACTCCCGTGACGTCCGGTTCGACGAGTCAGTGTCCTACTACACCCGGTACCCCTGTCGAGGTCTCCCGGTTCCCCTTCCCCCCCTTTTCCTCGCACCCTCTCTTCCTCCTGCTCCCGCTCCTCCGGTACCCCCACCCCCCCCTGGTCCTGCCCCGTCAGGTGTGTCTCACGCTACCCCTCTACCCTCGGTCGCGCGTCAAGTAGCGGCTCCCTCCCCGCAGTCCTCCTCACAGTCCCCTCAGCAGCCTTTGGTACTTCCGCGACAGGCTACTGTGGACTCGGTTGGTTCTGGAGCTGGAGGTGCAGCCACTGGCGGTACTCGGTCCGGGGGTGCTCGTTTGAGGGGTGCTGGGGTTGGAGGTGCTGGCGCAGGTGGCGCTAGCCCTGGGGGTGCTGGAGCTGGAGGTCCTGGCACTGGAGGTGCTAGTCCTGGGGGTGCTGGAGCTGGAGGTGCTGGCGCAGGTGGCGCTAGCTCTGGGGGTGCTGGAGCTGGAGGTACTGGCACTGGAGGTGCTAGTTTTGGGGGTGCTGGAGTTGGAGGTCCTGGCACTGGCGGTACTAGTTCAGGGGGTGCTGGAGCTGGAGGAGCTGGCACAGGAGGTGCTGGTTCTGGGGGTGTTGGTCCTGGGGGTGCTGGTTCTGGGGGTGCTGGTGCTGGAGGCGCTGGCACTGGAGGAGCTGGTTCTGAGGAGACTGGAGCTGGAGACACTGGTTCTGCGGAGTCCACTCCGCCTCCCCACCGCCACGACACACGTCTCCAGGCGGCCCGTCGGAGTGAGCGTGAGGAGCAGGTGCTGTTTGAGAGGGAGCGGCAGGAGTTGCGGAAGTTGGACCTGCTGGAGCAGCAGCAGCAGCAGCAGCAGCAGCAGCAGCAGCAGCCGTAGCAGCAGCAGCAGCCGCAGCAGCAGCAGACACCGCCGCCACAGCTACGACCACAGCAGCTCCCTCTGGAGCGGCAGTTGTTCCCACCCGTGAGTGGCCTTCGGGCCCTTGGTCTTCCCTCCTCTCCTCCTGTTCACACTCCGTCCCCTCCAGCGTTTGGTCCCACGTTTTCTCCTCCTGACGCCAGTCCGGCGGTCTGGTCTTCTCCTCCACCGCAGTCTCCTCCACCTGGTGTCCCGCACTCTCGCGTCCGTCCCTGTCCTCCGCGTGCTCGTCACTTGTCTCCCGTTACCGACCTCCGCACTGCCCTCCTTTGTTCGTCTCTTCGTCGTCCTCCTCCTGAGTCCGTTCTCCCGTCTCCGCCTCCGTCCTCTCTCCCTTTCCCCCCTACTCCTGTCACTGACTACTACCGCGCTGTTCGTCCTGTTGTCTCTCGTGTCCTCGCCACTCTTGTCACCGACTCTCGTTTCCCTCCGTCGTCTGTCTCGGCTCTCACTGCCGCTGTCGCTGAGTTTGCTGCCGCCAGTCGCCTTGACTACACCACCCGTGTGGTGCCAGCTCCTCCCTCCCGTCCTCTGTCCGTCGGGGGTGGGTTTGCCCTTGGCTGTGACGTCCTAGAGGACAGAGAGTCTGAGCTGGAGTACTGGGCAGCCGCTTCTCCCTCTGTCTGTGCCATGCTGCTATCCCCTGAGGGAGACCCCGACGCCCTTGACATACCGACTCCTCGCACTTACCGCGAGGCAGTGTCAGGGGCGTGGGCCTCACAGTGGAAAGCGGCTATGGCCTCGGAGTTAGCGTCTTGGAGATCCACAGGCACCTACGTCGACGCAGTTCCCCCTCCCAGGGCGAACGTAGTCGATGGCATGTGGCTCTTCAAGGTGAAGCGGCCGCCCGGTTCACCGCCTGTGTTCAAGGCGCGCTACGTGGCTAGGGGTTTCAGTCAGCGTGAGGGAGTTGACTTCTTCCAGACCTTCGCCCCGACCCCGAAGATGACTACTCTTCGGGTGTTACTGCACGTAGCAGCACAGCGAGAGTACGAGCTGCACTCCCTTGACTTCTATACTGCGTTTCTCCAGGGCCGACTACACGAGGAGATCTGGCTGCGCCGCCCTCCTGGCTTCACTGACACCTTCCCACCTGGGATCCAGTGGAGCCTGAGACGGCCAGTCTACGGTCTCCGCCAGTCGCCCCGTGAGTGGCACGACACTCTTCGCTCCACGCTTCGTGACCTTGGGTTTTGTCCTTCCTCTGCCGACCCGTCGCTGTTTGTTCGCACTGGTTCCACTCCTTTCTTTATACTTGTGTACGTCGACGACTTGGTCTTTGCCACAGCAGACAGGGTAGCTCTGGCTCAGGTGAAGTCCGAACTGCAGAAGAGATACACGTGCACTGACCTAGGTGAACTGCAGCGCTACCTTGGCCTGCAGATCACCAGGGAGAGAGCCGCTCGCACCATCACACTGACTCAGTCACACATGGTGCAGCAGGTCCTTCGGCGGATCGACTTCCAGTTCTCCACCACACAGCCCACACCTCTTGCTGTTGACCACAGACTCACTGGCCCCTTTCCCGACGAGCCTTTTGAGTCCAGTGGTCCCTACGCAGAGCTGGTGGGCTGCCTCATGTACCTGATGACTTGTACTTGGCCGGACCTCGCCTTTCCCCTCAGCGTCCTCTCTCGCTTTGTTGCGACTGGGAGACACCGTCCTGTCCACTGGACAGCTGCTGTGAGGGTGGCGAAGTACCTGGCGACTACATCAGGCATGGGGCTTGTGCTTGGAGGGACTCAGCCAGTGGCGTTGACTGGTGACTGCGACTCTTCCTACGCTGACGACGTGGAGACTCAGCGCTCGACTCAGGGTTACTGCTTCAGTCTGGGTGCTAGTGCTGTGTCGTGGAGGTCTACACGGTCGTCGTCTGTGGCTACTTCCAGTGCAGAGGCAGAGATCTACGCTGGTGCCATGGCGGCACAGGAGCTTCGCTGGTTGACCTTCTTGCTCGCCGACCTTGGTGAGCGGCCTCGCTCTGCACCGACCTTGTACGCTGACAACAAGGCCATGATCCTCCTCTGTCGAGAGCCTCGACTGGAGAGCAGAGTGAAGCATATTGACGTGAGGTACTTCCTTCTGCGAGAGCTGCAGCGACGCGGCCAGGCACGCCTGGACTTTGTGGCCTCAGAGGCCAACACTGCAGACGTCTTCACCAAGGCCCTGGCGCTTGGTGACCACCACAGGTTCTGTGTGCAGTTGGGGCTTGTTGAGGTAGGCCCTCGGTTGCTGTAGACTTGCTGTTTGCTCTGCTTGTTGTGCTTTGCTATATATATCCTAGTGAACTCTTGAACTGGCCTTGTGGCCGCTTGCTTGTGCTCGGAATTTGTGTGGTGTCCTTGAGATCCACCCTGAGCTTGCTTTGCTTCCTGCAGTGACTGGTCTTGTGACCGTTTGTTCACCCTGCTTGATTTGATGCCCCTCACTTAGCCTATGGGGGTGTGTCAAATGTTATTATAGGTTCTTAGGCTACAGTGAGTAGCACTATAGGGAGTACAACACTTTTAGGGTTGCTATTTGTATCCCTTGTTTCCCTAGTTCACACATTCCGTTGTTTGCTAACTTTGAGAGGCTGATATACCCAGTCAAGGCAGACTCCAGCCTATCAAGGCAGTCCCCACCCTCGGAAAAAGCCATTTATTTCTAATAAATAGGATTTTTAGCAGGCAACAAAGCAACTCTATGACATACTCAGTTGGAGAGGGTGGAAGCCCAGGTGGAGGGTGTGTGGGAAAGTGGGGAAAGGGGTGTATGCATATCACAACTCTGCCACCAAGGAAATGCGAATTTAGCAAGGCCCCCAAATGGAAATGAATGATGAACCGATAAGGCCAAAGTTTCTTAGGGCAGATAGCCGGTAGACTTAGCCTCAAGTGGAGAAGGTTGGTAAGGAAGGAAGAATAGACAGAAGGACAGGTGCATCTGCGTAGAGAGACCAGGGAGGGCCATCAATGAATCATTGCTTGCATCCCAGCCTTCTGCTGCTGCGCACATGGATCTTGATGTATTCGCACGCATGCCTGCAACCACAGGCGCACACGTACAAAGATGCTTTATAAGGAATGTGCCAAAGACTCTGAGTGGGGAGAGGAAAAAACGTTGATGAATGCATCAAGGTACCCCATAACAGCAAGACACTGTAGTATCCAAGGTCGCGCACACACCAGGCATGCCTTGCACGCACCTGTGAAGGCACGCGCAGCAATACGGCGGCGAGTTGAGTCGCTTTACGAGCAGTTGCGCAACGAAGACAGCAGAGCCTGCACCTGAACCATTGGATGCACGGCACGAGTGGCGGTGGGGATGCGATGAGGCGATGAAATCTATACTACGAAATCGAGGGGCACGCGCATGAGACAAAGGGGGTTTGAAAAGGCAGGACTGAAAAATGAACGTATGAATATGGCAACGAAGATGCATTTATGTACCTTGAATAAGTCCTGTTGTGCTTGACACTGGGCCCCAGTGGCATCAACCGCCTTGTTCTTCCCGTTCACGTCTCCCCCCATCGCCTTCAATAGCTGCTCCACTCCCTCGCGTACGCCCGCCTGCACTAAATGCTGCCCGAACATGTTTCCCTTTGCAAGCACGTTCTTTAGAATCATCATGCCAAGCTGCTGCTCCAGAGTCAGTGCCTTCCCCTGCTCCTTCTCCGGCTGTAGGAGCTGTAGCAGCGCGCGCGCGCCATTGGCATTATCTACAGTGCAAAAAGCCAATACTCCCTCCTCTGAGCGTGTCAAACTCGCCAGCAGTGCGGAAAGCTCGACCTGCCCCTTCGCCTGCCCGGAAAGCAGCATGGAGGAGATTTGGGCAACAGCGTTTCGCTCCACCAGTTGCGCCGCCACTTCCGGCACCTGCGAGAGGCGCAGCAGCGCAAGCGCCGCGGCCGCACGCGCACTGGCACGTGGCGGTTCGTCCCCGTTCGACGGTGGTGCTGACGAGGACGAAGCAACCAGCAGCTGCCACAGCAGCACGTCCGTGCCCGCACTTGCCGCCACGAGTACCCTCGCCTCGCTGTGCAGCAGGCAGTAGAGGAGCGCTGCCACGTCAGCAAGGAGCGGGAATGACGTGGATGCCGAGGGTTCCACTTGTCGCAGAATATTAACTAGCAGCATCACCAGCCCCTCCTCGCTGAAACGCGGCGCCGCGCGTTCGCTGAGGAGGCAGAGATTAAGAGCCGTAGCTACCACCAGAGCTGTTAACCTACTCTTCCCACCGCCGCTGCTGCCACTTTCCAGTGCACGGGTAAGAGACGCCGTGGCGCCGTTCGATATAAGCAGCTCCGCTTCCGCCGCTCCTTCCGCGCTCACCTGCATCACCACCGCCGCGGAGTCCGCGTTTCCCGCCGCCACCTGCACCAGGAGTCGCGCGACCTCGTCTTGGCTTGGCGGAGCGGCGGTTGCGGCGCCAGCCGCGGTGGTGCAGGCTTGGCGAGAGGAGCCCGCGGAAGCGGGGAGGTCGGCGGGGCGAGGGGGGAACTTCTTGAGCGCGGAGGGGAAGTCGGAGGCGGAAGCGAGTGCGGAGAGGTAGTTGCGGCCAAAGAGACTGACGAGCGCGGGGAGAAGCGCGGTGCCAGACACGCTGCGCGGGAGGCGGGGATGTATTGGGGGAAACGGGGAGAGGGTGGGTGGGGGGCAAGCGGAAAAAGGCAGAGACTGTTATAGATGCAACTCAGGCGCGAGCAAGAGAAGCAGACACGAGCGACGTAGGGATGATGCCGATTGATTTACGGCCACCTTAACGGTAAACGACTACGAAATAACGGCTCATGCTGACGGTTAGCAATAACGGCTACGAAAGACGGCTACGAAAGACCGTTGCGATAACGGTTGCGGTTACAGTTTACCTGCAAGAAGAGCTGCCGCAGTTGGAACACGACGCCCCCGCCTGCAACGTTCCAGGAGTACGGCCAAGCGGAAAGAGCGGCGGGAGCAAGAGTAGGGCGGGCGAGAGCGGGCGAGAGCAGCAGGGAGGGGGAAGCGGGGGGATGGAAGCGAGGAAAGGATGGGAAACAGACAAGGGAAACACGGGAACAGAAAGGTGGATGCGATGAGATGCGATACGATGCAACGAGGTAGACGCCGTCGTGAGAGTGCGGCGCCGACGACGGGTAAGTATCGGTGACGATAAAGCGACGATAAAGGGAGGGGAAAGCGCGGGACTGGCTCAACGGGGGGGAAAGCAGTGACGGGTCGATGGAGATAGAGGGAGGAAGGGGAGAAGGGAGGAGGGGGGGGAATAGAGGGGGGAAATAAAGGGGGGAAAGGGGAAGCGGAAGTGAGAGAAAGGGAGGAGGGAAGTGGGGTGAATGGACGGAGATGGGAGCGAGACTGGCGAAGAGCGAACAGCGGAGGTTGCACTATCGGGAGTACCAATTACAGCCCTCAAGTCACGCACTCTGTTTATATTGCGAGCCTTGCGGGGCTGACGAAATAAGTTTGAGAGAGAAAAAAGGAACGAGTGCCTCTATCATAAAGCAGAGAGGGTTGTCACGGAGTCTAAACCACACAGGCTGCACACTACCTCGAAAGGCTGGTGTTTGACTCACAGCTTCAAGCCTCACTCGAATCCTATTTCAAGACTCGGTCTTACCTCTTTTCCTGCGCATGATACAATCCGTTGCTACCACTACCCACGCACCGAGCCTCTCGGCATGCTCGGCATGGTCTACGAGGCTCGGCATACCCGATCCCTCTCGGCATAGCCGATGCCCGCGGCAAACCCGACGGACTCTAAATCACTAGCAGACGAACCTTGGATCGCATCTTGCTCCAGATGCCTTGCATAGGATTCGCTTCAACCCGCCATGGCGCCGACCGACGAGGCCGACTCTCCTGCAGAACGGCTACTAAAGACGCCATGAAGCGATTAACTACACCGTCGCAGGGGTGGTGGAGAAAAGCGGTGGAAGAATTGGCTTAGTACCGATTTGAGCAAAACTTAATGGTTTATGACGACGAAACGCTGTAGTGCGGGTAACAGAGGATAATAATTAGCAGCCGCAGGTATACTAGGAATGGTCTGGAGCAGCAGAGTGGACACTTCAGTTTCCAGTTCAGAAATACGTAGAGAGGTCGGTTACAGGAGAAAAATCAAAACAATCAGGAAAGAAGCATAGAAGGGCTTGGACGGGAGCGAAGGCAGTGCGGGGCTGCGGTATGGCAGCGAACGTGAGGGGAAGATGAAGGGGGAGAGACCATGCTAAGGGGAAGGGAAGGGATGGGAAGGGAACAGGAAGGGAAGGGGAGGAGGAAAGGCTTTGCTTGGCTGGTAGGAATCTGGGGAGGACTGACGGGTGAGTGGGTAGAGGACGAAGGCGGTGCGTGCAAGTGAGAAGGAAAAAATATGAAGATTTGTCTGATATGGAACCGAGCTAGCTACAGTAAAATATTGTTTGGCGCAGGACGAGCTACAAGACAGTTCTGGTTGGCTGGCGAAGAGGTGAGGTCAGGACGGAAAGGAATGGAACGACCAACGAGCGCTGCTGTGCTGTTGCGGTCCCAACCAATGTCTGTCGTGGAATGGAAGTGTTTACAGAAATCTCGTAACGGCCCAATCCGTCCGCTGATTGGGTTGTTATCCAACGGCTGGCAAGTGGTACAGTTTTGTTCCGTTTCAAGAAGAAAACGACACGTGGAGCTAGTTTCAGGCTTTTGGGTAAGCCCATTTGAAAATCCTGCCCGCTTTCAATATGTTCTCCCGAACAAGGATGAGAGCCTTGGGAATTAGCTGGTGGGGGGATGGGAGCCAATCAGAGTCCACAAGGAAGCGGTATCAATCTTGCAGGTGCATGCTGAAACGGCTTTGCTTGTGGAGCGGTTTCGCTGAAACCTGAAGTCATAACGTTGTTTGGCCTGAGTGCTGGCTAAAAGTTGGAAACGAAATTCTAAAGGTCGACACTGTAGTACCAACAAAAAAAATGCTGAATGCTCGAACCGCTTTGTCGTTGGGAAACATGCTCCACCAGGGTTCAGCAGCAGGAGCGCAAATGTGGGTGGACTGATTTCGTTGGAGGGGGGGGGGGGGGGGAATCCTTTTGAACAACTCCACCTGAAGTTGGTGAGTCGGAAAAGTCCAAAACGCGAAAGCCGCTGCTTCAAGCGCCGTCCCCTCTGCCGTGACGTGACGTGACGACCAAGCGGAGGAAGGGAGGGGGGGAGAGGAGTGATTTGAGGGTAGCAATGCTGCTGCTGCGCTGCTGCTCACCTCATAAACAGCACAGCGCTCCAGCAGTGAGTGGAGGTTACAATATGGTCCAAGAGGTGGCCGTTACGCTAGTGGGTGTGACTGTTGGGCAAATCGCCTGACCCTCCTGACCCTGAACCAGGAAGCTGCTTGATTGACCAATAGAGACCCAACTCGAGTCAAAACAATTCACCCATCGGTATTGCTTCCAGCCACCAACCAGCTCAGCTTCCAGTTGCTCAGTCCACTCCACATCACAACATGGTGTACACGGTACAGCACACGGTTAGCGCTCTCAATAGATAATTGCGCCAACATTTCTTACAGTGTCCTAAAGGACATCGGCTAACACATATATACTAGGCAATCATAGTGTTTTGGTGAGATTCCCCAGTTGTCATTTGTATCACAAGCAGGGTTATTAAAAACTCAACATGCAGACAGATGTTTCTCAAATCATACAGGACAAAACATACACTCAGCTGGCATCCTAGTTACTCAAATCCGTAACGAAGGCAAAATGGAAGTGGCAGGCAAACAGCACAAAGACAGTGCTGCTGATTGTGCATTTGCATGTGTGTAGCAGCAGGTCCTTTGTATGTGCATAGGTACGCGAGTGGGGGTCGGAGAGAGTCTAAGGAAGTCATCACCAGCAAGGAAGTACCCAAGGAGAACGAAGTGGGGGGTATACATGTTGAGCCTTTTGTCACAAGAGCCCAAACTCAAGCCTTAAAGCTCAGTGGAGGAAGCAGCCGCAGGGGAGGAGGAGGTGAGATAGCCTTTGCCCCCAAGGAACCCCACAATGAAGAAGATCAGTGCAGCCAGCAGCAGAGCTGTGAAGGACCATCCCTTTGGCCGTTGCACTGGTGCCTTGCTCCCTGCCTTGCCCGCTTGCTCCTGTGGTGCTCACAGAGAGGAGAACGGCCAGGCGAGACAACAGGGAGGATGGATGACACGAGAGGATGTAATGCTGGTGCATGTGGGATGGGTGGGAGGTGGGTGGGGGATGGAGGGCGGAATGCATGGCGACTAGATGGCAGATAGATGGCGGAAGAATGGCGGATGGCAGATGGCATATAGCAGATGGATGGTGAATGGCGATTAGCGGGTGGCGGATGGGGGGGTAATATGGGCGGTGGCTTACCTTGAGTCGTTGCAGCTCTCTCACTGCTGCATTTCTATCATCTGTCATCTTTGTCAGCGCTGTTTTAGCCTGTTGACACAACCAGATGGGGCACGGGGAACAAGTGGAGTGGACAACGAGGAGGGTGAGTGCGATTCACACAGCAAAGAATGGCACCAGCAAAGCATGCAACTGGATATGCTTCAAAACAAAACAATGAACCCCCTTCTTGCGAGGCAAAAGCTCAGTGCCATACTGACTGGGACCTATGCCACCTGCCAGTAAAACATGTTTTCCTCCCTAGCTCGCCATCCAGCCTGTCGCCCATTGCTCGTCTCCTCCTCCCCCCCCTCGCTTCCCTCTTCACTCGTCTCACATTCCCTCCACACTTTGGCCACATCTGCTCTGTCTCCCTGACCTGCTCTGACTCCCCTTCCCCGTCCTTCTACCTACGAGGGTTTTTTGAGATTCCTAAACTCGCCTCGAATCCCTGTCCATTCCTCAGCCTTGTCGCATTCACCAACCGCCCCCCTCTACTTGCAGTTTCCTTGTTTACGACTGTCCCTGGCTTCCCTTCCTCGATGAACAAAATCGTTTACCCTCCGTTTTCTCCATACCTTCCTTTTTAATACCCATTTTCACCTGATACCATCCCTTCCCCATGTCGCCATTTCCCATCCTAGCCCCGCTTGCTCGTCTCCCGTTGCCCCTCATTTCCCCACGTCCCGTTGCTTCCTCATTTCTCCCCTCGCCTCGCCATCCCCACACACACCTCAGTGAGCTTGGCCTTGAGTTCCGTGACATCCTTGGAACCCTGCAGGGAAGCCGAGTATCAACACCGTCACCATCCCCACCATCCCCACCATCCCACAGCGCGCACGTACACACACACACTCGGGCACGCAGACACACGCACGCAGTGACACGCACTCAGCACACGTGCGCACACACGCACGCAGACACACGCAAGCAGACATGCACACATGCTCACATGCATGGACAGACCAAAAGAGCCAAAATTAGCCACCCATCTACCAGCAACAGAACCCGTTGTCCTGTAATCAGCACTCACTCACAACTCACCATTGACCCGTTCAGAACAAACGAAACATCGTAATTTCCACGTGCAAACAAAGCAAGGGATTCTCAACTTGCACCAACTGCAATGTCATCACAGAATCTCATACAAACAACCTACTATGTTTGCCATTGAGCACTAGATTTCGCGTCTGAGTGCAAGTGCAAGAGAGAGTGTACTGGTGAATGTGATTGCGAGTAACCTCTGTGCGCATGTGGGCCCGCGGGCACCCAGAAGCGTGCCGGAGGGGAAACAACGCATGCGCGAGCAGCAGCCAGCGCAGCACACAGCGGGCGACAAGCAGCAGCGCGCAGCTCACCGCGTCAGTGGGAGTGAGCCCCTTGGCCGTGGGCGGGAACGAGCTCGGCGTTGCGCCTTCATCCGCGGTTTCCGCCACAGGCGACGGCGGCTGCGCAGGAGCGACGTACAGCACGCGCAACTTCACCTCGTGCACCTCGCGCCCGTTCTCCTTGTTGAACTGCCAGAGGGAGAACGCAACGGCGCGTTGGGGGGAGAACGAAACGACGCGTGGGGGGGAAGAATACAGCGGAGCGTGAGGGGAAGAACACACGCAGGAGGCGTCTTATGCTCGGAACAGAATGGCGGCGGACGGCAGGACGGCAGGACGGCAGGGACGGCTACGGAAGAGCGAACTAGATCACGCGCAGATGTTTGAAACAGGGCGACGGCGCACATAGGGGTTGGTTAAGAACCAGGGTGGAAATAGCGTCGAGAGGAAACGGCACAGAAGGCACTTCAGCTAGCCTGGCTGCTAAAAAACGCTTCACTGATTCACAGCAAACCGGCATACTTTCACGGCTGAGAAACTTGCACACTGATTCAACAGCGAACCACGAATCGAGTCGGAATTTGTGACGACAGCACATGCAGTTTCCCAACCCAATCAAGGAAGTGGCGCCTTACAAAGTCGGCACTGGCTTCCTTGGGAGCTCCGCCCGGCACGAGCACGCTCTGCACGAGAAACTTGTCCTTGCACTGCATGTCCGCAGGCATCTCCTTCTGCGCTTGCATGGTCACTGCGCGCGGGTGAAGAGGAGGGAAGATGTCGATATGTTATGATGAGGACACGTGGATTGCTGAACGAACGTCAAGAGGCAGCAATAAGAGTGCGAGGAGGACCGCTCACCGATGACCTCCGCGCTACTCTGAGGAGGAATTAAGCCCGTGTTGGGCCTCACACAGTATTTCTTCGGTGACGTTGTCTTGACCTGGAAGAAGGAAATAACAAAAAGGGCACGCGCACCGACGTAAGCGTGCAGTTGAAGGAACCGAAAAAAATAAGTCAATAAGAAAAAGACAGGCACACTTAAAGAGGAGGAGCATAGACGATCAGATTATTGTATCAACTACATATCCAAAATCAAAAGCAACAGTAGAAAAGAGAGAATCGCAGATACCTTGAAGGCGACATATTCAGAGGTGACATTGACTAGCCGCAAGGATGTTGAGACCTGCTTCTTCAGCTCAACTGCGGATTGCACAGGGGACCAGGCAACGGAAGTTCGCGAGAGTTGTACGTTACGCTTATTATTAACACATAAGCATGGACTCAAATAGCTCTTCAAAAGCGAATTTCAGCAAGTGACAATCGGCGATCACCAGAGAAACGCGTCGGCATTCAGTATCTTCAAAAATCGGGCTCGCTACTAAGAACCATGAAGAAAAAAAAAAAAAACAAAAAAAAAGGCTTCACTTCAGCTTCTTACACGTGAACTTCAGCTCCAGTGGCTGAACGGTAAGGATCTCCCCTAACATGGTGTAGGCTGTTAAACGCCAACAAGCAACAGGCGTCAGACTAAATCTCTGGGCAGCTATCCACCTCCGCGTGCACAGACCGATCGACTATCTCACGGCGAAAATTACGGCGGCTAAAACACGACCCCAAAGTACAAGCTTCCTGGCTCGGCGTGAATACTATTGCCTATGCTAGGTACTCAAGGGCTCAGGCAAGATCCTTAGATTGAGGAGAACCACGAATGGTTGACTGGACAGGGAGATTCAGAGACGCCAATAATGAAGGTCTCCAGGAAAATTGCAGATACTTGCTGGGAGAGGATGGTGAGGGAAAATGAGATGAGACGAGTGCAAGCAGGGAGGAGAGAGAGGTGGAGACGAAAGAAGGGAGGAGAGAGCAGAGCTGGAGGGAGATGAGGGAGTGTGGGTCAGGTTCTGTGAAAACTGGTTTGTTGTATCGGGGGGAACTGGCCGGCTCGGAAGCGCCGAAGCTGTTCTGAGAGTGCTGATCGGCTGGGATTTGTTCACGTTTGTGGGTTTGTGAGGGAAGGACGCATGGCGGCGTGTTAGAGGTTCCGTAACCTCGGGACAAACCGGACCTACTGGTGAACACAAGTCCGAAGCGGAGCCAGGTTTGGGCAGAAAGTCTTTGCATTGAATCTCGTCAGATGGCGGGAAAGCTGGACTAGGGACAGGCTACAAGCCATCCGAATAAAATTAGTGGTTGCAAACATTTACAAGGCGTACACCATTTCCAAACAATGTATGCATCCCTCATTTCTAAATGGAAAAGCACAGTTGCATCTTTCGATCCAGCTAGCCTTAACGTCGACCAGCAGCTTGGAGATAGTATAGCATAGAGGCTGCCTGAGCATGAGCATGCAATTGGTTCTGAGGCCAAGAATAATTCATAGGCATGACACCACGACTTTGCTGGAGGAGTAAGCCTGCTTGCTGCTGCTGCAGCTGCCATCTCAGAAGGTCCTGCTGCTGTTGGTCGTATGAGGAAAGTGCAGTAGAAAGTGGGGCGGCACCAGTGGTGGTAACCGTACCATTGCCTGTGGCAGCAGGATCTTCTGTTGCTGCTGCGGGTTTCGCTCCCGAGTTGGAAATCTGAAGAACACGTAAGGATGGATGGAAAGAATATGCTCCTCATTAATCTCGACTAGTGGTGCAACACGGCAACATCACCAAGTATCCTCATTCATAAAACACACCCATTCTAGCAAGTTTTATTTTTTACCACACAGCACACAGACCATACTTCTTTCCGAGGACACGCTCACACCTAAAAATAGCAATCATATAAAAAAACGGACTCCGAGAATCTAAATTCGAAGACAATTCCCTTTACAACAACTCAGATGACACTGCCGTTCACACCTCACTCCACTTCACCCGACCTCACTCCTCTTCACCCAACCTCACTCCACTTCACCCAACCTCACTCCACTTCACCCAACCTCACTCCACTTCAGCGGTACAGGCCCACCCGACTCCACTAAACTCAACCTGCTGACAGCAACATACCTGGAACCTCAGCTGGCGATTAAACAGCCTGACGAGCCCTGAGAAGAGCTTCACGGCGTACTGCGCGCTCTCCTCCGTTTCATACTCCGCGAATCCGTACCCTCGGTGCTGCCCTGACGCCTTATCCCGCGGCACGTGTAGATCCACCAGAGGGCCCGCCTGCTGCATCAAATCGTACAAGATCCGATCTTCCACTTGCGGGTCGATATTTCCTGAGGAGGAAGGGTGGGAGGGAGCGGGTATGGAAAGGAAGCGAGTGCGGCGAAGTGGAGGGGAATGGACGGAGGTTGTTGGTGCGGGAACGGGGAAAGGGAATGGGAAAGAGATTGGGGGGAGAGGTTAAATGTTTTGGGTGAACTTGAATGAATTGGAGCCAGTCGGTTCACAGCTACACGCAGTGTCGTTGGAATTAAAACAAATACCCGCGTATCGTTCAGCAGTCAGCTTCACTTGACTAAGACAATCAATTGTAGATAATCTAGAGCAGCCGTGTGGCTGTTCTATGGTATGACTGTCATAATGTGTTTGAAGAGTGACCAGTAAAGCTCTGTCAACAAGAGCGTTGCGAGAACCGCAAATACGATTGGCTGGAGAGACGCGCGAGTATTACCTACGAAGACCGTCGCGAGTGAATTCCGCGCCATGGTTCCGAAGCGCCTCGCACTGCGTTGTGCTGCTCCGACCGGCGCTGGGACCTGGCTACGACGTGCTCAAGGAAAAGTACTGGTACAGGACGAACGGAGTCGAACGGCGTCGAGCGAAGTCGAACGGAGGTAAAAATACGATACCAGGATGGCTCGCGGAATCGAGACACGCAAAGACCAACAGCGACCGTGACCAGCACAAGCGAGCGGAATTGACGCGCGATGGTCACTCCAAGAACCAAGTAGATTATATGGAAGGATAGAGCGACTCCAGAGAGAGCCTTGCAGAGTCAAGCACGTCAATAATGGAGAGAGCCTTGCGGAAGTGGATGGAGAGGGGACTTCGGAGATTTCGAGAATCCATACTCGCTACACTTTCGAGTAGAGGGGCTTGCAATTACGCTTGAGGTTAAAAAAACGCCTTAGAAAGTTTGAATATAATACGAGCAGGAACACAGACACTAGAGTTCTGGTGGCCATCAGTACGTGTTGCTGTCTTATTCTTGTTACGAATAGTGATTATTGAAACACTACTGTGCACTCCTCACCGCAGCAAACGTAGCACGCACTACCGAGAGTGAAGGTGAAAAGGCACAAGTGACGCGAAGGGTCGCACGGTTACGAAAGCATCTGGACCGTTGGGCAGACAGCATCAGGCAGCAGCAGTGGCGAGGACTCTGCCCGGAAATTTTCGTAACTGTCTGGAGTCGCACGGTTGGATTTCGATGTAATAAGGGAATGTACCCCTTAGAGTACATGGCTAGTTAGGTCGATTCATATTCCCCTGTACTCTTATTTTGTCAGAATCCCAACCACTAGACCATTGGGATAAAAGGGATTGTTAAGTAGCGGGTCAGTGCGCCCATAACCCCCCAGGCCAACATGCCTGTAACCCTTCCCTAGGATCAATCGGGGATCACCAGTCGACCTCTGACATATTTATATTCCTTGTACTGCATGTTTTTATTATCTCAAGCATTTACATTCACTCTGCTATTGAGGTCAAGGGCCCACCACCACTAGACTAGGAGTGTGCGAACCTTCCTGAGGTGATCCTGAGGTCGATCAACTTCTGATCGCAACATGGTATGAGAGCGACTCAGGAATCCTTCGCACCGCCACCACCGAAAACTTCGGCGAACAGAAAGTGGCGTCCGGCACACGCTCACGCGTAAGAATGGCCTGAGGATCCGGTGGTCAGACGAATCTGACGGCTGAAGCACAGACCAACCCGGTTGCGACAAGCGAGGAAACGACGACAATTCCTTCCGCCCTTCTCGTCGAACAACGGGATATGGACCAGCAGCGACCAGCGCCGCGACGAGACAGGGAACGCCTCGCCTTCTACGCCGACAATACGGAAGAGCGACGGCCGCGGCGCCTTTACTGCAAGATTTGCAGATATTTCGGGCACCTGGCAGATCGATGCAAGCATCGATCTCACCCTCGTCAGACCAATCCGAGCAACTGGTCTGGACGACAAGACGCAAGGAACGATGCGAGTCCTGCCCAGGGGCATCAACCCCCACCGCGCAATCTGAATTCAACAATTCAGCATCAGCAGCAGCAGCCACCAACTGCTCCCGTTCGCAACGTCATGGGCAACATGCCAATGACGAGCGGATCTCGTCGTCCCCGTGCGCGCTCACCTTCACCGGAGGAAGCACTTCACCCAATCGGAGCGTTTTCGAACAACAATCCGTTCAGCGCGCGCCACGATTTCACTGACGACGACAACCAGGACTGGAACCTGCCAGTCCCGCTGCTTGAAAGCCCCCCGCACGTACCTGACGCGCGGACGGCACCGATCGATTGGATCGCGCGCGATCGTTACCAGAACAGTTTCTCAAGGTCGACACACCGCACATCGTTACTCCGCGACTGGCGCTGCTCGCGTGTAACGACAACAGGCGCTACAACACGTGGTACCTAGATAGCTGCTGTGGGCAGCACATGGTGGGCTCCGAGCGTTACATATCCAACGCCGTCGCCACCCCCGCCGTCACCTATGTCACCGTGGCGAACAACACGCGCCTGCGCGCAAGCGCGCAAGGCATCGTTGTGCTCAAGGCACGTGGGAGCAGAACGCACATCACACTCAATTATGTGTTGATCGTGCAGAATCTGCGCTTGAATCTCCTCTCGGCGGCGCAACTCATGGATTGCAGCGTTGTCCTCAGCACCGACCCCGAGACGCGCGACATCCTGCTTCACTTCACGATGCCGATCAAGACGCGAAAGCAGATCGGACGAGCCCGCGCCGAGAACGGATTCTACGTTCTTGATTTCAACATTCCTGACTGCAGCGGCGACTCGCTGGAACTGATCGATCTCGTCCCCCTGCGCTTCTAACATATCCATCGCCGTGACTGGCACAGCAAGGCTCTCTGGGCTACCGAGAGCACGAGGGCTCCGGACTACAGGCGCTGCGCATGACACGAAGGTGACCTCCTCTCAGCCTCCCCAAACAGTCCCACCTCCTTTACACACACCCTCTACTGCACCTCTAGCTCCACTCCCACGTCACCCCCCTAGCACCACTCCTTCGTCTCCCACACACCCACCCCCCTCAGCGGCAGCTGCAGCAGCGGGAGACGGAGGAGGAGGAGGAGCAGGGGACGGCTCACACACCCGCCACCCCCATACCCGTCACCCCCATACCCTGAGTGTGCGGTAAGCGAGCTCAGGTGTGCGCGAAGCGTGCACAAGCGTGCGGGAAGCGAACTCGGGTGTGCGGAAAGCGAACTCAGGTGTGCGGGGAGGGGAGGCCGTAGGGCGACGCGCGGGTCGACGGGGACGGGCGCACGGGTCCCCGGTGGCGGAGCGCGGGTCGACGGGGCCGCCGCG